AATTTCTTAATTTCCTCACACCTCCACCACATATGTATTGTTGTTCCTATTTCTCCACCACATCTGCAACAGAGGTTGGATTTCAATTTGTATATCTTTGCCAGCTTAACTGGCGTTAAGTACCACCTATAGAACATCTTTACAAAATGTTCTTTAATTGTATATGAGGCAGTAAATCGTATATCCTCTCGCTAGAGTTTCTCCCATTGCTCTAGATAGATAGTATGTCCGAGATCCTGAGACCATTTAATCATTTTTTCTTTCACTTCTTCCTCTATCAATTCCCAGTCCAATATAAGATTATAGATTTGGATAACAATTTCTTGTTAATCTGTATCAGTGTGATGTTAAATTTTGAATCCTCTTTTGCAAATCCTTTCTTTTGATCCGAGTTGAGGTTTCAAAATTTATTGATATTCTTCATAGTTAGATCTATACCCAGATATTTTGCTTTCTTAACAATCTGTAAGCCAACCTTTTCCTGAAGTTCTTTTTGCTCTTGTTCTTGCATATTTTTTTACCATATGTTTTGTCTTTTCCATATTCATTTTAAAGCCAGACACCTTGCCAAAATCATATATTATCTTTATTGCTTCAGCGATACTTGCTTCTGGTTCTTCTGTTGTTAACAAAATATCATCTGCAAACGCCCTGATCTTATAAACCTCTTTTCCCAATGTTATTCCTATGATCTCTTTGTCTTTCCTTATTTCCGACAACAATATTTCTAATGTCAATCTAAAAAGTAAAGGTGAGAGAGGACATCCTTGTCTGGTGCCCTTCTGCACTGGAGAGCATTCTGTCTTGACACTATTCATTATTAGACTAGCCTGCTGCTTCTCATAAATTGCATTTATACCTCTGCAATAATTGTCACCCAATGATGCTAGTTCCAATACTTTCTGTAGGACTACCCTTGATAAATTATCAAAAGCCTTCTCGGCGTCTATTAGGATAAACGCTGTTCTTTGAGTTGGTCTTAATTCTAAATATTCCAATAAATCAACATTTTATCATATGTGGTGGGATTGTAATGTAATGTAAAATTTGAGAAATGATATGCAACGCATTGAAGAAAATGTTCCATTTAACATTTGTTTAAAAACCTGAGGCATTTTTGTTGGGGATTGTAGAGAAAGATCTGCCTAAAAAGCTGAAAAACATCTTCATGTATGCGGCAATGGCCGCGAGAGTTCTGGTAGCACAAGGATGGAAGACTGAAGAAACCCCAACTAAAGAATCATGGCAAGAAAAATTGATGGACTATGCAGAACTGGCAAAATTGGCATACAAGCTACGGGACAAGAATAACTGTGACTTTAAGGATGAATGGGAACCCTTGACAAAGTATTTGAAGACGCAGCAAAGCGAACCGGACTCCTTGGCAGATTTTGAATAAACATTCACGAACCTTTTATTGATAATAATCAGCAAAATAGTTTGAGGATCTATACAACTTTGTAACATGCAGAAAACAGCATTCTTAGAGATACCAAAGCCTGGAACTGAGGGAAGTCGGGGGGTGGGTGGGTTCTGTGTGGGAGAGGGGAGGCAGGAAAAATGGGGGGGGGACAAGGATGATATGTTTTTGGATAATATGTCTTGTTATAATTTTGAATTAAAAAAAAGAAACCAGAAAAAAACATATAAAAGCCAAGCAATATGTCAGTTAATACCTGCCAACTAAGGAAGTGAAACCTATAGTAAGGCCTCACATTTAATTCCCTTCAGTTCGTCCTCTATCACAAGCATTCATTTACTTTGTTCAATGATCTGGAGCTCCCATTTCTTCCTGAGGCTCTAATTCACTTCTCTCTTCATTGCAGATGGTGATAAATTTGAAGGGAAGAACAAGGGGGAGCACAACAGAATCCACATAGTGGAGAAGTCATATAAATATTCAGAGTGTGGAGAGAACATCGGTCAGAGCTCCCAGTCCACCTCCCGTCAAAGAAAGAGCTTCATTCGAAGGAATAGCCTCACTTCACACAAAAGACCACAGAGTAGGGAGAAATTGTATCAGTGCTTTGAATGTGGAAAGAGCTTCAATCGGAAGGCTAGTCTGACTTCCCATCAAAGAATTCATACGGGGAGAAACCCTATCAGTGCTTTGAATGTGGAGAGAGATTTCGTCTGAGTGGTGATCTCACTTCCCATCAAAGAATTCATACAGGGGAGAAACCCTATCAGTGCTTCGAATGTGGAAAAAGCTTCAGAAAAAGCACCGATCTCACTTCTCATCAAAGAATTCATGCAGGAGAGAAACCGTATCTGTGCTTGGAATGTGGAAAGAACTTCAGTCAAAGCGCCCATCTCACTTCCCATCAAAGAACTCATACAGGAGAAAACCCCTTTCAGTGCTTGGAATGTGGAAAGAGCTTCAGAAAAAGCACCGATCTCACTTCTCATCAAAGAATTCATGCAGGAGAGAAACCGTATCTGTGCTTGGAATGTGGAAAGAGCTTCAGTCAAAGCGCCCATCTCACTTCCCATCAAAGAACTCATACAGGAGAAAACCCCTTTCAGTGCTTGGAATGTGGAAAGAGCTTCAGTCAGAAGGTGAATCTCACTTCCCATCACAGAATTCATACAGGGGAGAAACCCTATCACTGCTTGGAATGTGGAAAGAGATTTCGTCTGAGTGGTGATCTCACTTCCCATCAAAGAATTCATACAGGGGGAAAACCCTATCCGTCCTTCGAATGTGGGAAAAGTTTCAGTCAGAGCCACAGTCTCACTTCTCATCACAGAATTCATACAGGGGAGAAACCCTATAAGTCCTTCGAATGTGGAAAGAGCTTCAGTCATAGCACCAGTCTCACTTCCCATCAAAGAATTCATACAAGAGAGAAAACTGTTTAGTGTTTGGAATGTGGAAAGAGCTTCAGTCATAGCACCAGTCTCACTTCCCATCAAAGAATTCATACAAGAGAGAAAACTGTTTAGTGTTTGGAATGTGGGAAAAGATTCAGTCATGGCCCACCAGATATTTCATACAGGGTTGAAAGCATATCAGCACATGGAATGTGTATAAAATTTCACTTGTTCAAAAGTCAATTTAAGATCTCACACCAGGGTGAAGAATAGAATTATAGATTCAGAATCTAGTCCAACCCCCTCCAGAAATCTCATTTCAAGCATCCATGACAGGTGGCCATCTAACTTCTTAAAACCCCCCCAATGAAGGTCCACCCCCTTCTGAGAGAGTTCCTTTTCACTGTCAGCTCTTACTATCAGAGAGAAAATATAAAAAAGACTTTGGAGAAGACTTCCGGTGTGATAGCCTATGGCGTTTGGCTGCTCTCCCAGGACACCGGACCCCAGTCGTGCAATTAAACAAGGTGAATCTGGAGGTAATTATCCCTGTTGAACCCTGCAGGGATGGGGCGCACATGCCATCCGATATCTGCTGCTTGCTACAGTGGAGGCAGGGGCGCTGGGTGTTTAGCATTGCACGAATTGGAAAATCTCCAATGCCAACGCCATGAGCGGGAGCATTCCTGTTTTTCAACAAAGATTTGAATTTGGACTTTGAAAGGACTTTTGTCGCTCTGCTACAGAAGATGTGAGGTGAGCATCTCATCTTTGCTTATACTTGCTACTGTTGGGCCAACGCCCTCCCTCATTTGTCTGAATGGTGAGGAACTTCGCCCGTAGTAGCAGAGTACAGCAGAAGCAGACTCTGGCTGGAAAGCAGCATCGAGAAGATAAGAAGGCAACAGAGCGACGAGCTGACTCACGCAGCCGTATCCTTCAGCAAAAGCCAGATGCAAGGACCAGAGGGGAGGAGGAGGAGATATAGAAATCGCTCCCGTTCTCACACGACAATACATTAGGTAATTAGGCAATTAAAGGCACAGTGTCACACTGTGCAATGAAAGAATGAAACACTGCAGTACTGCCAGCTACTTCATGATTTGGCAAGCCTCATGGAGAAAGATTCAATAAATTAAATGGAATGCAAGTGAATCTTCCTAAAAAAAACTTGAGAATTTGATGTTTAATGGTGCGGTCCTTTGTGGAGGGCTCTAATTATTATTGGCAAGGTATCAGCTTGTTTGAAGATATGAAGAGACTTTGTTCAAATACATGATTAAATATGTTTTCGGCTGGGGATGCTAAAACGGTGCAAAGGATGGCGCATTAGAAAAAAAGGGGTCCCTCTCAAAGGGGGCTGCAGACAAGCGACAGATTACAACTGGGGAATATTTCACACAGGAAACCACATCTGCTTGCATGGACTTTTGTCGTATGTGGATTTATAAAGTGAAGATGAATCTTTGATCTTTGTGAGCTTCCCTTAGGGCTCAGGGGGAGCAAGCTTGGATTGTAGAGGGACCGAACAATTATTAACTGTGAAATCTATCCCATGGTGTGGTCTCTTACAGAAGATTTTTCGGTTTGGGAAAATATCACTTCGTTAAAATACATCAAAGGTAAAGGGACCCCTGACCATTAGGTCCAGTCATGACCGATTCTGGGGTCACGGCGCTCATCTTGCTTTATTTGCCAAGGGAGCCGGCGTACAGCTTCA